GAAACATAAAGTGAAAAATACTGTTTGAGTACTAGTTATAGCATTAAATCACAATTTACAGCACACTAAGGACAGAGATCCTACATGGGGAGTAAGTGCACAATGACTCCTGTTGTTGACTTAACAATTGACACTCTTGTTTATGGCATCAGTAATCACCCTAGGCTCTTGTCATGAGCTGCCAAGGCTATGGAAGCCCCCTGAGTTCACCGACTCTGATCATATTTAGACAAGGCCATTGTCAAAGTGGAAGTTCTCTCCTCCATTCAGAGAAAGAACCTCCTTCTTTGATGGCCTGTTCTTTCCACTGGGATCTCACACACAGAGATCTTTCATTTAGGTTTTTTTTTCCCCCAGAGTGTCTTGGCTTTCCATGCCTGAAATACTCTCATGGGCTTTTCAGCTGGATCCGCATGCCTTAAGGGCTGATTCTGAGGCCAGAGTGCTGTTTAGGACATCTGCTATTCTATGGGTCTGCTGTGTATCTCACTTCCCATGTTGGATCGTTCTCTCCCTTTTTGATTCTATCAGCTAGTATTTGCAGACACTATTCTTGTTTATGTGATCCCTTTGGTTCTTAGTCCTATCATTATGATCAATTGTGAACAGAAATTGATCACTGGGACTAGTGAGATGGCATTGGTACATGCCACCATGATGGGATTGAATTGGAATCCCCTGGTATGTTTCTAACTCTACCGTTTGAGGTAAGTCAGCTTGAGCATGTCCCGAATTGCACATCTCTTCCCTCTCTTACTCCCACTCTTATATTTAACAGCTATCACTTTTCAGTTAAGTTTCAGCACTTAAGAAGAATTGTGTATTGATTACAGTATTCAACCAAAAGTATTAAGTAGAACAAACAAAAAAATACTAAGAGGGATAACATATTAAGTTGCTCATCAACAGTCAGGGTGAGTGCTGATCAAGTCACCGTTTCTCATAGAGTTCATTTCACTTTAACAGGTTTCCTTTTTGGTGCTCAGTTAGTTGTCACCTATCAGGGAGAACAAACAAGTGGTATTTGTCCCTTTGGGATTGATCAGCTCTTGTCCTGACGGTTGATGTACAATGTAATACTTTATGCATTTTAGTATTTTTTTTGTTCTAGTACCATTGGTTGAACTCTGTAATTAACACACAATTATTCTTAGGTGTTTAAATTTTAACTGAAAAGTGATCCCTGTTAGGAATTTGGAAAACATTATGCTGAGTGAAATAAGACTTTATAAATGGAAAAATCATCCATGTTCGTGGATTGGAAGAATCAACACCATCAAAATGTCCATACTACCAAAAGCCATGTACAGATTCAATGTGATCCCAATCAAAATAAAAAGGACATTCTTCTCAAATCTAGAAAATATGATGCTAAAATTCATATGTAGGCCAGCGCCGCGGCTCAATAGGCTAATCCTCCCCCTAGTGGTGCCGGCACACCAGGTTCTAGTCCTGGTCGGGGTGCCGGATTCTGTCCCGGTTGCCCCTCTTCCAGGCCAGCTCTCTGCTTTGGCCCGGGAGTGCAGTGGAGAATGGCCCAGGTCCTTGGGCCCTGCACCCCATGGCTCCTGCCTTTGGATCAGCGCGGTGCGCCGGCCTCAGCGTGCTGGCCGCGGCAGCCATTGGAGGGTGAACCAACAGCAAAGGAAGACCTTTCTCTCTGTCTCTCTCTCACTGTCTACTCTGCCTGAAAAAAAATTCATATGTAAATACAAGAGACCCCAAATAGCTAAAGCAACTTTATACAGCAAAAACAAACCTGTAGGCATCACAATACCTGATATTTTTCTTGTTATTTTTTTTGATTCAGAACTATACAGCTAAACAGTTATAAACTTCATATAGTTCATAATTACAACTTCAGGAACATAGTGATTCTTTCCACTGTGTCAGCTCTTCCACTCACATTCCCACCCAACTTCCTCCTCCCTCTCTTATTTCCACTGTTATTTTTTGCTAAGATCTATTTTCAATTAAATTGGTACACATTTGATTATGTCTTCCTTATTCTTGTTTCTTGAATTGCTGCATTTATTATTCAGCATTTGAGGAGATACTTATTGGTTTCTTTCTTTTCTCTCTGTGAAGGTTTTCATCTTTGAACTATTCCTCTGTTGATTAGTGGAGTTTCCACTTTTTCAGCAAATACCTAGAGGCATGTGGTGGGTGTGAACAGGGAGCTCTGTTCAGTGCTCTGGGTGAAGGGAGTGTCCAAGGTGATACCCAGGTTGGGCATGATAAATCCCCCCCCCCTTTTTTAACCAGAGGTGAGGTTTGTTCTGTTCTGTTGGAATGGCTCAGATCACTTCCTCTCCTCAAATGAGACCAGTGCCTGGGCACTAGAAACATTCAGAAAAGTGAAGAGGCAACCAACAGAACAAGAGAAAATATTTGCAAACTATGCAACTGGTGAAGACTTAACATCCAGAATCCATAAAGAGCTCAAGAAAGTCAACAACAACAAAATAAACAATCCAGTTAAGAAATAGGCAAAGGACTTGAACAGACATTTTTTCAAGAAAAGAAATTCAAATGGCCAATAGACACATGAAAAATGCTCAGGATCACTAACCATCAAGAAAATACAAATTGAAACTACAAAGAGGATTCACCTCAGTCCAGTTAGAATGGTCCACATACAGATATCAATAAACAGCAAATGCTGGCAAGGATGTGGGGAAAAGGTACCCTAATCCACTGTTGGTGGGAATGTGACCTGGTGTAGCTACTGTGGAAAACACTATGGAGATATCTCAGAAATCTGCATATAGAGCTATCAAAATGCTCAGCCATCTCACAGCAAAGAATTTTCCTAAAAGAAATGAAAGCAGTGTGTAAAAGAATGATCTATACTCCTGTGTTCATTTTAGCACAATTCATAATAGTTAAGATAGGGAATCAATCCAGATATCCATCAAATGTTGACTAAAGAAATTATTACAGTATACATACAATATGGAGTACTACTCACCTGTAGAAAAAATATAAAATCCTGTCATTTGCAACAAAATGGTTACAACTGGAAACCATGATACTTAGTGAACTAAGTCAGTCCCAAAAAGACAAATACCATATTTTCTCCTGCCTCTGTTCTAATTAATAGAGTACCTAAAATTCAATATTTAGGAGTGAAATGGACCCTTTTTTTGACAGGCAGAGTGGATGGTGAGAGAGAGACAGAGAGAAAGGTCTTCCTTTTGCCTTGGTTCACTCCCCAATGGCCGCTGCGGCTGGCACACCGTGCTGATCTGAAGCCAGGAGCCAGGTGCTTCTCCTGCAGGACCCAAGCACTTGGGCCATCCTCCACTGCACTCCTGGGCCACAGCAGAGAGCTGGCCTGGAAGAGGAGCAACTGGGACAGAATCTGGCGCCCCGACTGGGACTAGAACCTGGGGTACCAGCACCACAGGCAGAGGATTAGCCTATTGAGCCACGGCACCAGCCAAAATGGACCTTTTGATATTCAATGATTGTTTATAACCCTTGTGTCTTCTGTTAAGAAGCAGTATTTCTTTTCTTCATAGTATTTGTTGAACTCTTTTACTTAGTGTACGCTTAATTATATGATCATTAAGTAAACTGAAACTAGATCTTTGTAAAAATTAAGAGTGGGAATGGGAGACAGAGGACGAAGATGGGTTGGAATATGAGTGGGAGGGAGGGTACTAGGTGAAATTACTATGTTTCTAAATCTGTATATATGAAATACACGAAATTTGCATAACTAAAATAAAATTTAAAAAAGAACATGAGATCATATAATATATTCTGTTGATAGGAATGTAAATTAGTACAGCCACTATGGAAAAGGTATAGAGATTCATTTAAAAGTAGAAATAAAACTTCCATCTGGTCTAGCAATTCCAGTACTGGGAAATATGTTCAGAAGACATGAAATCATTGTATATGAGAAACATCAGGTGCCAGGGCTTTGGCATACCAAGTAAAGCAACAGTGGCAGTGCTGGCATCTCATGTTGGAACAGGTTCCAGTCCCAGCTGCTCCACTTCTGATGTAGCTAAGAGCTATGGCCTGGGAAAGCAGAGGAATACGCCCCACACTCTTGGGTGCCTACACCTACATAGGAGACTTGGAAGAAGCTCCAGGCTCCTGGCTTTGGATAAGCCCAGCTCTAGCCATTAGAGCCATCTGGGGAGTGAACCAGTTGATGGAAGACCCCCTCCAACCCCCCAGCCTGTGCTTCTTCCTCTCTATAACTCTACCTTTCAAATAAATAGATTAGTTTTTTTTAAAAAAAGAAACATCAGCTCCACCATCTTTATTGCAGCATTTTTTCACAATATCTAGGAAGTGAAATCAACTAAAGTGTCCTTAAACAGATTAACTGATAAAGACAAATTAATAAACACACACACACACACACACACAAATGAACACACACTCAAATGGAATGTTATTAGGCAGGAAAACAGATTAAAAACTTGTCATTTGCAACAAAATAGATAGATCCAGATAACATTAGGCTAACTAAAATAAACCAGAAAGAAAGATAAACATTGCATGTTTAACTTAAATGTAGCTCAAAACAAAAACTCAAAGTGAACACATAACAATATACAGTAGAACCTGAGTGGGGTGAGTGGGGGAGGAATGAAGTCGGATGATGGATATCTAATCAGATTTAAATCAAAGTAAGAAGTCCTAGTGTTACACAGCAAAATATTCTGAGTACAGTTCAGAATAACCTAGTATATTTTTTACTTTTTTTTTTTTTTTTTTTTTTTTGCCGTTGGTTCACCCTCCAATGGCCGCCGTGGCCGGCACACTGCGGCCGGCGCACCGCGCTGATCCGAAGGCAGGAGCCAGGTGCTTCTCCTGGTCTCCCATGGGGTGCAGGGCCCAAGGACTTGGGCTATCCTCCACTGCACTCCCTGGTCACAGCGGAGAGCTGGCATGGAAGAGGGGCAACCGGGACAGAATCCGGCCCCCCGACCAGGACTGGAACCCGGTGTGCCGGCGCCACAAGGCGGAGGAATAGCCTAGTGAGCCGCGGTGCCGGCTCTAGTATATTTTTTAAAAAACAAATATAAGAACAGAGGTCGAAGTCTCTAATTACAAAAAATAATGTAAAAAGAAGAAATGTTGATTACACTGATCTTATCAGTACACACTATATACTAGCATTGATGTATCAAAATGTAGCCCTTAAATATGTATAATTATGGTTAATAAAAAAATTTTCATTCAATGTCTACCCAAGGCAGGGTTGTACTCAGGGCTATGTTACAGTAAACCTGAAATCTGGATAAACAGGCTAGAAGCATGTGATTTGAATAGTTCCACACCATATACTCCACTACTTAAGTGACACACCATGATTACTGGGAGAAAATGCAGAGAACACACTACTCAGGACAACAGATGTTTTTTCAGATCTTCTTCATCTCCTATCCTGACCCATAAGTATAAAACTAGAGTTGAGTAACAGCATAATCCAATGGAAAAAACTGATCAAGATTTATGTAAAAAGAAACTTAATTCTGGAGATGATGGATCAACCAGCAAAATATAAAACTAGAAATGATGGAAATGATTTGGAATACCTCTCCCAAGAGACCAGATTTTACAACGGGTAAAGTCCTCAGGACATAATACAAATTTGCTCCTGGAAAACACTCAGAAAAATGAAACAAGTCATGTTCACACAGTGAAGTTAAAATGTCCAGAACTGTGATACTGAAGGGATGAGAGCTTCATGCAAAAGTTTAACTAACTAGATGACATGGATTGATCAGACATGGCCAAAAGGGTCTACAGATAAAAGGACAATTTGAGCAGGTATATTCAGAGAACACATTTCCCAATGACGTAAGTAGTGTTCTGATGAGAAGAGTACCAGCTTCATGAACTGTGCAATGTCAGCTCCATGTGGGTCACAGCTGAAAGGAGGAGAATGGAACCAGAGTTTGGCTCAGTGATAGCAATGGTGAAAATACATCTCTGATACAAAGTATGGCAATGCTTAACCATACCAGAGGGCAAGAGGTATTCATTATTATAAAGGCTGAAAGTCAGAATGGCACTAAGGCTCAAGGACATAGTAGAAGGATTTCAGGAACCCTCAGGCTAAAACAGATGATCATGCAGCATAACACTACTTTATGCCCACTGAAGGCATGAAGAACTGATGACTAAGAAGTAAAAAAGATTTTACCCAAAACACTTGATCAATTGTCCCCCTTCTGGAACTAAATTATACCAAATGTGACACATGAAGGCCAGCAGTTTGGCACAGGTTAAACTACTCATTGGGAGGAAGACATTCTGTTAAGCATGTGTGACGCTGGAGATGGCAATCTGCCCATTATTTCGCTTCACTGTGTTCTAGCTCACTAAAGGCTTAACAAAGGCCAAGTGTTTAACCTAATGCATAAGATGGTGCATCAGAGTGCCTGGGTTCACTTGCAGGCTCCAGTTCATGACTCCAGTTCTCAGCTACTGCAGACCCTCTCAGGCAGCAGTGATACCTCAAGTAGCCCATTTCCTGACACATGCACGGGACACCTGGATTTAGTTTCTTGCTCCTGGCTTTGGCTCAGTCAAGTAGTAGCTACTGTAGCTATTTGGGGAATAAGGCAGCACATGTGAGCTCTTCCTCTCCCTTCCCCACTCTCCACACCTAATGCTCAAATAATTAATTTTAAACTGTCAGTTGTCATTACATGGGATGCTGTGGCACTGGGAAATAAACATAAGAAATGGATATGCATCAGCTCTTTGAAGTGGATTTGCTTTCTATGCCCTATAACAAATTACCACACTCAGCAGCTTAAAACAACACAGTTATTATCTCACATGGGAGAGGAGTGTGGGCATGGCCTACAGAAATAGGCCCTTGGCAACAAGCAAGATGTCACCTGGGCTTCACTGGCATCAAAGGCCGTTTGCAGGAAGATTTGCTTCCTGGGTTACTCAGACGACACTGCCTTGCAGCTGTAGAACTTGAAGCAGCTGACTTCCGCAGAGCCAGACAGAATGAAACGGCATTGCTTCAAGTCTCACCTCTTAAAAGGACTTACCTGGTAGCTCAGGCCTACCTAGGCAGATCTTTCTTTAACTAACTAGAGTTAACTAGGTAATATCTTAACTATACCTGCAAAATCACATCACATTTGCCATATAATCCATAAGATGCAAGATACGGATCCCACCCAGGTCCATGGGAATGGGTTACATACAGGTTCCCAGGGCATGAGACCCGAGGGAAAGCATCTGAGAATTCTGTGAACCACAAGACATAAAGGGGAAAAGTAAGTAGAAGGAATCAAAGTTTTGAAGGAACACTCGTAAGTGACTTTCATGCACCACAAAAAAGAGTGAAGATCTGAGGGCAAACGACAGGAATGAGTGCAAAGTAGCAATTTCCTGCCAGAGGAGGAGAGAGAAATCCAATTGGCTACATCTAAAAAGTTAAATAAATTTAAAATGATTAATTCATAGATGATCAAGGCACCTCAACAAAGAGGCCCTACACTCACCTCAGCCACAGAGAACAAAAACAAAGTAAGGACTGCATTACCAGGAGACTGACTGATGCAAATTTTCACTAAAAAAGTGACAGGAATTCCCAACAGCACAGCCTAGTAATCAGACTTGGAGTACAGGTCAGAAAATGGACTGGGGTCTGATGCAGGTGAATACAGGAAGTCCCTGGAAAACAAAGGGTGAGGTATCTGAGGAGGGCATGGTGACCAGCTGGAACTGGTTCTTGGAACTCACAGGAAGTACACACACCTAATCCAATCTGCATCGCAGTCACTGACTGCTACCAGTACCCTCAGGAAGAAAAGGCATGGTTCTAACAGTAACCACAAACTGCAATCCAAATTGAGCAGGGCTACAGGTTGAATAGCCTCAGCATTTCAGAAATGCTAACACAAAGGAAACAAAACTCCCTTCTCCACTCATCTGTCACTCCAGGTTGCTTCTTCTTTCTAAGGGTTCACAATCAAACGTACCACACAGAAGTGAGCCTTGTAGACACACATCCCAGAAATTACCAGTGAAGATGTGACAAGAGGTTCAGAACTGAGAGAGAGAACCTTAAATGCTTGGCTTTTTTGGCCTTAGATCAAGACACAATATTGGGGAAAAATTCATGTTTAAGGGCAAGCCCCACCTATAGGAAGCTCATACCCACCCACTACTATTTTTTATAGAAGGCTTTTATTTAATAAATATAAATTTCATAAGCACAACTTTTGGATTATAGTTGTTCTTCTCTACATACCTGCCCTCCCAACCCAAATCATCCCATCTCCTACTCCCTCTCCCATCCCATTCTTCATGCTCAATCGGACTTGCCCCAAACAGTAGAGTTAGAAACATACCAGGGGATTCCAATTCACTCCCATCAAGGTGGCATGTACCAATGCCATCTCACTAGTCAAAGTGATCAGTTTCAGTTCACATTTGATCATAATGATAGGACTAAGAACCAAAGGGATCACATAAACAAGAATAGTGTCTGCTAATACTAACTGAGAGAATTAAAAAGGAGAGAACGATCCAACATGGGAAGCAGGATACACAGCAGACTCATAGAATGGCAGATGTCCTAAACAGCACTCTGGCCTCAGAATCAGCCCATAAGGCATTCAGATCCAGCTAAAAAGCCCATGAGAGTATTTCAGGCATGGAAAGCCAAGACACTCTGGCAAAAAAAAAAAAAGACCTAAATGAAAGATCTCTGTGTGTGAGATCCCAGTGGAAAGAACAGGCCATCAAAGAAGGAGGTACCTTTCTCTGAAGGGAGGAGAGAACTTCCACTTTGACTATGACCTTGTCTAAACAAGATAAGAGTCGGAGAACTCAAAAGGCTTCCATAGCCTTGGCAACTCATGACTAGTGCCTAGGGTGATTACTGATGCCATAAACAAGAGTGTCAATTGTTAAATCAACAACAAGAGTCACTGTGCACTTACTCCCCATGTAGGATCTCTGTCCTTAATGTGTTGTACAATGTGAATTAATGCTATAATTAGTACTCAAACAGTACTTTACACTTTGTGTTTCTGTGTGGGTGCAAACTGTTGAAATCTTTACTTAATATATACTAAATTGATCTTCTGTATATAAATATAATTAAAAATGAATCTTGATGTGAATGGGATGGGAGAGGGAGCGGGAGATGGGAGGGTTGCAGGTGGGAAGGAAGTTATGGGGGGGAGCCACTGTAATCCAAAAGCTGTACTTTGGAATTTATAGTTATTAAATAAATAAAAGTTTAAAAATGTTCACTTTAATTATCTTTATATACAGAAGATCAACTCTATACTAAGTAGAGATTTCAACAGTTTGCACCCACACAGACACACCAAAGTATAAAGTACTGTTTGAAGACTAGTTTTACAGTTAATTCTCATAGTACAACTCATTAAGGACAGAGGTCCTACATGGTGAGCAAGTGCACAGTGACTCCTGTTACTGATTTAACAATTGACATTCTTACGTATGACATCAGTGATCACCTGAGGCTCTTTTCCTGAGCTGCCAAGGCTATGGCAGCCTTGTGAAGCCACCCCAGGTGGGTGAGAAACAAGGTGAGAAACAAGGTCTAGAGTCCACAGAGTTGCAGATAGCAGCAGGCAGCAGAGCCTGACGAACTGTGTTTGAAGTTCCAAATGGGAAGAACAGGGGAACAAACGCAGAGGTTGGGCACACCCCTGTCCATCTATGTCTCCTCCTTCCCCCATCCAGACCTGCAGCAGGCTGGGAGAAGCCATATTGTTTGTTTCCATCTTCAAATGTAAGCAGGGGGCTACTGCATTTGCCACCTGTGTGCACGCCTACCAACTGCGGGGTACACTTCACAACACTCCCCACCTGGGAACAAGGATCACATTTCAGATTAATTTCCCCACCACCACCACTACCACACAAGCTGTATAACAAGAAGTCCTAAATATTGAAATATCAAGCTGGTTTCAAGCACCAGTGAGAAGCGAGCCTGGCCCCCCAGTAGGCGGGGCTTAGTGCATCAGAGCTCTCATACCTGGCCCCATAATGATCCAAAAGTGAGCAAGACTCCTGGGGGTGGGGCTGCGTACTTCCACTTGCAACATACAGATACATAGCATGTCACAGCAGAGGGAAATCACACCGCAAGCACCAAGACACATATTAAAGAGAAAAGCAACTAAAATGCCAAAAAAAAAGGAAAAAAACTTAATAAGAATAAGGAAGACAATATGAGCCCCTTAATGGAACACTACAACTCTTACTCAATAATAGAAGCTGAAGAAGAATAGATTGAGGCTATGCCAGAAAGGGAATTCAGAAAATTAATCATCAGATTACTTTGAAGCAATCAGAAACAAATTCATGATCTAAACGAAAGTGTTCCCAAGAAATTGAGATGTTAAATAGAAGTCAGAATGAAATATTAGAAATAAATAATTCAATAGATCAAATAAAAAATGCAGTGTTATGCCTTAATAATAGAAAAATGAGACAGAAGAAAGAATATCAGAGCTAGAAAACAAATTTCTGGAAATATAGTGAGACCAAACACAAGAAGAAGAAATTAGAAAACTGAAAAACACAGTTGGAGATCTACAAGATTCTATCAAACAACTCAACACATACAGCTTAGGAATTCCAGAAGGCATAGAAAGAGAGAAAGGATTAGAAGGCCTTCTTAATGAAATAACAGAGAATTTCCCCAATTTGGAGAAAGAAAGAGAAGAACACATAACTCCCAATAGACACAACCAGGAAAGATCTTCACCTCAACAGACTGCAGCCAATCTCTCCTCAGTAAGACATAAATAAAAAATCTTAAAACGTGCACAAGAAAAATGACAAATCACATTCAGAGTAAACCCAATTAGACTCACTCCAGACTTCTCATCTCAAACCCTGCAGGCAAGGATAGAATGGCGAGACATACTCCAAGTCCTAACAGAAAAAAACTTTCAACCCAGAATACTGCACCCTGCAAAACTCTCATTTATGAATGAAGAAAAAATAAGGATCTTCTACAACAAACAGAAATTGAAAGAATTTGTAACTACTCACCCATCCCTACAAAAGATGCTCAAAGATGTGCTACACGCAGAAACAGGGACATCACTACAAAAGTATATGAATGCAGAAAATGACCCAGCAAGTACAAATGAAATCAGTACAAATGAAATCCAAAATACAAAAACAGAACTATTTACAGAAACATCGCAGGGCAAAGTTGGTACTTAACAATAGTTACACTGAATGTAAATGGTCTTAATTCTCCAGTCAGAAGCACAGGCTGGCTGAATGGATTAAAAAACAAAACCTATCTATTTGCTGCCTGTAAGAAACACATTTTACGAACAAAGATGCATGGAGACTGAAAGTGAAAGGATGGAAAAAGATCATCCATGGTAACATAAACCAAAAAAGAGATGGTGTGGCCCTCCTAATACCATACAAAATAGACTTTAACATAAAAACTATCAAAATGCACAAAGAAGGACACTACAATGATTAAAGGAAAATTCAAGAGGAAGATGTGACTATTATAAATGTATATATACCTAATTACAGGGCACCTTGCTATTTAAATGAAACAGTAAGGGGCTTAAAGGGAGATAAAGATTCAAATACAATAATAATGGGGGACTTCAATACTCCACTTTCAGCAACGGACAGATCAACGAGATAGAAAATCAACAAACAACAGAGTTAATTGACACCATAGATCAAATAGACCTAGCAGATATCTACAGAAAGCTCCACCCTAAAGCCACAGAGTACACATTTTTCTCTCTGGTATATGGAACTTTCCTAGAATTGACCAAATGCTATGCCATAAAGCAAGTCTCAGCTAATTCAAACAAATTGAAAGCATACCATGTATATTCTCAGACCACAATGCAATGAAGCTGGAAATCAACAACTAAAAAATCTCTACATCATATGCAAACACATGGAGAATGAAGAACATGTTCCTGAATGAACAGCAGGTCATAGAAGAAATCAAAAGAGAAATCAAAAAATTTCTCAAAACAAATGAAGATGACATTACAACATATCAAAACTTATGGGGGCCAGTTCTGTGGCATAGTGGGTAAATCCACTGCCTGCAGTGCTGGCATTCCAAATGGGTGCCGGTTCAAGTCCTGGCTGCTCCTCTTCCAATCCAGCTCTCTGCTATGGCCTGGGAAAGCAGTGGAAGATGGCCCAAGTTCTTGGGGCCCTGTGTCCACATGGGAAACCCGGAGGAAGCTCCTGGCTCCTGGCTTTGGATCAGCGCAACTCCGGCCATTGCAGCCATCTGGGGAGTGAATCAGCAGATGGAAGACCTCTCTCTATCTCTCTCTCTTCACTCTCTTTCTCTCTTTCTTTCTCTCCCTCTCCTTCTCTTTCTGTGTAACTGCCTTTCAAGTAAATAAATAAATCTTTAAAAAAAACTCATGGGATACAGCAAAATCTGTGTTAAGAGGAAGTTTAAAGCAATTGGTGCCTATATCAAGAAACTGGAAAGGCACCAAATAAATGCACTATCTACACACCTCAAGGATCTAGAAAAACAACAGAAAACCAAACCCAAAACCAGTAGAAGGAAATAAATAATTAAAATTAAAGAAAAATCAAGATAATTGAAACAAAAATACAAAAGATCAGCAAAATGAAGAGCTGGTTTTTTGGAAAAATAAATAAAATTGACACACAATTGGTCCAACTAACCAAAAAAGGAGAGAGAAGACCAAAATCAATAAAATCAGAGTTCAGAAAGTAAATGTAGCAGGCATCAAAGAAATTTTTTATATAATTAGCAGAAATTACTACAAAGAGCTGTATGCCAACAAACTGGGAAACCTAGAAGAGATGGATAGATTCCTAGACACATACAACCTAACTAAACTGAGTCATAAGACATAGAAAACCTAAACAGATCTGTAACCAACAGAAATTTAATCAGTAGTAAAGACCCTACCAAAAAAGAAAGTCCAGGACTGGATGGCTTCACTGCTGAAATCTACCTGACATTTAAAGAAGAACTAACTCCAACCCTTCTCAAATTATTCAAAACAAAGAGAGGGAATCCTCACAAATTGTTCCTATAAATCCAGCAGAACCTTAATTCCTAAATCCAAAAAGATGCGACAGAGAAAAAATTCTACAGACCAATTTCCCTGATGAATATAGACGAAAAATCATCAATAAAATTCTGGCTGGTTGAATCCAACAACACAACAACACAAGTAGGATTTATCCCTGGTACACAGGGATGGTTCAACATTTGCAAAGCAAATTGAAGAACGAAAATCATATGATTATCTCAATAGATGCAGAGAAAGCATTTGACAAAATATATCTTTTCATGATGAAAACTCAAAGCAAATTGGGTTTAGAAGGAACATTCCTCAACACAATCAAGACAATTAATGACAAACCCATGGCCAGAGTCCTAATGAATGGGGAAAAGTTGGAAGCCTTCCCACCAAGATCCGGAACTGAACAAGGATGTCCACTCTCACTACTGCTATTCAATATAGTCTGGGAATTTTTAGCTAAAGCCATCAGGCAAGAAGAAGTAAAAGGAATTCAAATCAATAAAGATGAAGTCAAATTATCCCTATTTACAGATGATATGATTCTACATTTAGGGGAAACAAAAGACTCCACACAAAAGAGTTTGATAAAATAGCAGGATTTAAAATCAACACACAAAAAATAATGGACTTTGTATACACAGACAATACCATGTCTGAGAAATTCTTTTAAGATCAATCCCATTCACAATAGCTACAAAAATATCAAATACCTTGGAATAAATTTAACCAAGGATGGCAAAGATCTCTACGATGAGAATTATAAATTTTTAAAGAAAGAAATAGAGGAAATCTCAAAAATATGGAAAAAAACTTGCATATTCATGGATTGGAAGAATCAATATCATCAAAATGTCCATTCTTCTGAAAATAACTTAAGAGATTCAATGAAATACCAATCAAAATACCAAAGACATTCTTCTCAGATCTAGAAAAAATGATGCTGAAATTCATTTGGAAACACAGGAGAACTTGAATAGCTAAAGCAATCTTATAGAACAAAAAAAAGCAAGTGGTATCACGATACCATATTTCAAGACATATTACAAGGCAGTTATAATCAAAACAGCCTGGTACTGGTACAAAAACAGATGGATAGACCAATGGAACAGAATAGAAACACCAGAAATCAATCCAACCATCTACAACCAACTTATATTTGATCAAGGAGCTAAAACCATTTCCTGGAGCAAGGACACTCTCTTTAAAAATGGTGCTGGGAAAATTGGATTTCCATAGGCAGAGTATGAAGGAGGACCCCTACCTTACACCTTACACAAAAATCTATTCAAATGGATTAAAGGCCTAAATCTATGACCTGATACCATTAAATTACTAATGAACATTGGGGAAAACCCTACACGATATTGGCACATGCAAAGAGTTCCTGGATAAGACCCCAGAGGCACAGGGAATAAAAGCCAAAATTAGCTATTGGGATTGCATCAAATTGAGAAGTTTCTGTGCTGCAAAAGAAACAGTCAGGAAAGAGGAAACCAACAGATTGAGAGAATTAGAAAACCATGCAACTGATAAAGGATTAATAAGCAGAATTTATAAAATGATCAAAAAACTCAGCAACAACAAAACAAACAACGCTTTCAAGAAATGGGCCAAGCTGGAGTTGAAGGTCTCCAGGTTAGAGCAACATACCTTGTTCGCTCTAAGTTGAAAAGCCCTTCACTTAGCCCAGCTTCCAAAGTAACCACTGCTGTCGAGTGGATGGCCAAGTAGAGTCAAAAACATTGCAGGAAGAAATGTATATTAACTAATAAATAGTTTCCTTTTAGAAATGCTGACTACCTTCTCTTTGAGCCAGCTCTCCTCCCAGGCCAGCTAGGTAATGGAAGTCAACAGGGTGCCTCCCTTATGAGGTACCACATGTGAAGAGATAAATAGGTCTGAGCCTCATATCTGACAAGGCCTTAAGCTTACCCCATTATTCTCAAGCCCTTTTTGTCAATTTCTATTTGCCTCTCAATGAAGAAAAAAACTTGATAACGGTTTAGACTCCTTTCTTAGGGCCTCTAATAATGACTCTGTCCTCAGTTTTAGATCATGTGAGTTTAAACTGTGTGTTCGATTTGTTTTCTCCAGACTTAAAAAAGTAAAATTCTAGGTGGTCATGCACATGAAACCGATGGAAGCAGTTTCTGCAAGCTTGTACCATATCCCCCTAGAGAAGCCACTTCCTGCTGAGAAGCCACCTCCTGCTGGAACACTGTCTTTACTCCCCTTCCCAAAGTCTCCCCTTTTCAGCATGCAGCTAGAGCAATCATTACCCTGTTCCCCCTAACAGTTGTTAGGGTTTCCATCTTAGGAGGGGGGAATGTGAGGAGTCAAATGGGTTTATATTCAAGGGATCCCAGTGGAATTTGGGGTGTAAAATATTTGCTTCCTTCCCCCAAAATGTTATCATTAGCAAGAACAAACAGGCCACCCTCCTTCCTTGGGAATCTCCAAATTTATCATGAGAATTGCAAAGGAGCTCTTCCTGAGCTCACAGCTTATTGGGAAAACAAGTTACCTATCCCATCCTTAGCAGGCCAGATAGGATGGAGAATTGTAAATGAGGTCTTTTGATGGTTTTTGCCCTGCCCTGGTAACTGAATGCCAATCTGATTCTCAAGTTTTTTTTTTCTTTTAAAATTGTACTTAAAAAGCCCACTGCCACCAGTCCCTTTGGATTTTTTCCTCTCTTAGAAGCCCCCCTCCATGCAGCTCTCGCTGGAGGTCCTTGATTCTAATAAATACTTTTAAATCTTAAAAAAAAAAGAAAAAGAAAAAGAAATGGGCAAAGGACTTAAACACACATTTCTCAAAAGAGGAAATCTAAATGGTCAATAGACACATGAAAAAATGCTCAGGATCACTAACTGTCAAGGAAATGCAAATTAAAACTACAATGAGGTTTCGCCTCACCCTGGTTAGAATGGCTTTCACACAGAAATCAACAAACAAATGCTGGTGAGGATGTGGGGGAAAAGGTACCCTAATCCACTGTTGGTGGGAATGTAAACTGGTAAAGCCACTATGGAAGACAGTTTGGAGATACCTCAAAAATCTGAATATAGTCCTACCATATGACCCAGCCATCCCATTCCTCAGAATATACCCAAGGTAAATGAAATCAGCAAATAAGAGAGTTATCTATACCACCATGTTTATTGCAACTCAATTCACAATAGCTAACACATGGAAACAAACTAAATGACTGTCAATGGAAGACTGGATAAAGAAATTATGGGATATTTACTCTATGGAACATTACATAGCAGTAAAAAAAATGAAATCTAGTCACTTGCAACAAAATGGATGAATCTGGAAAACATCATACTTTTTTAAATAAGCCAGTCCCAAAGGGACAAATACCATTTGTTCTCCCTGATCTGAGATAACTAACAGAGGACGGAAAAGGAAACCTGTAGAAGTGAAATCGACACTATGGTAAGCAATGACTTGAATAGCCCTTGTTTTGATTGTCAAGGAATAGTTCATTATCTTATTTTATTTATTATTTTTTCTACCTAATACCATTGGTTGAACACTTTACTTGACATAGAATACATCATAGGTGTTTTAAGTCAATTGAAAATAGATCCCAATTAAAAATAAGAGTGGGAATTGAGAAAGAGAGGAGCTGTACAATACACATCCCCACAGACTGATTCCTGAGGATAAAGCTAAAAACTTGCCATGGGACTCCAAATCCCATTAAGCTAGGTGGTACTAATGCCTTTTTACGTGTTAAAGTCATCATATTAAGTGTGCAATGATCATATAAATAAGATTAAGTGTCAAAGGGATCACATAAATAAGACCAAGTGTCTGGTAATAACAATAGATAGGATTACAAAGGAGAGAAAGTTCCAACATGGGAAAGCAGTCCACACAGCAGACTCATAGAGTGACAAATGCCCTAAACAGAACTCTGGCCTCAGAATCAGCCCTTAAGGCATTCAGATCTGGCTGAAAAGCCCATGAGATTATTTCAGGCATAGAAAGCCAAGACACTGTGGCAAAAAATGACCTACATGAAAGATCTTTGTGAGTAAGATCCCAGCGGAAAGAAGGGGCCATCAAAGAAAGGTGTACTTTTCTCTGAAAGGAGGAGAGAACTTCCACTTTGCATATGGCCCTATCTAAATACTGATGGAGAATATGGAATCAAAAGGCTTTCATAGCCTTGGCAGCTCATGTCAAGAGCCTCCAGTGATCACTGACATCATACATAAGGGTGTTAATTGTTAAATTAACAATAGGAGTCACTGTGCACTTACTCCCCAAGTAGGACCTCTGTCCTAAATGAGTTGTACTATAAGAATTAACTGTAAAACTTGTTCTCAAACTGTACTTTATACTTTGTATGTGGGGAGGTGAAAGTTGTTAAAATCTTTATGTAGGATAGAGTTGGTCTTCTGTATACAAAGTTAATTAAAAATGAATCAATTAAGAATGGGATGGGAGAGGGAGTAGGAGATGGGATGGGAATGGGGGTGGGAGGCTGAGTATGGGGAAGAACCACTATATTCCTAAAGCTGTACCTATGAAATTTGCATTCATTTAATAAAAGACTTTTTAAAAATTAAAAATAAAAACAGGATGAGGAAATTAAAAAACCATTAAAGAAAGAAATAGAACACAAACATAAACAAAATGCAAAAATCTTCTATGTCCATAGATTGGAAGAATCAATATCATCAAAATTTCCATACTACCAAAAGCAATTTACAGATCCAATGCAATACCAATCAAACTACCAAAGATATTCTTCTCAGATATAGAAATGATGTTGTAACTCATATAGGAACACAGGGGACCCCAAAGAGCTAAAGCAATCTTATACAATAATAACATAGCCGGAGGCATCACAATGATTGCAAGACATACTACAGGGCAGTTATAATCAAAACATCCTGGAGCCATACAAAAAGAGATGGATAGACCAATGGAAGAGAACAGAAATGCCATAAATCAATCCAAGCATCTACAACCAACTTGTTTTTGACAAATGAGCTAAAATCAATCCCTGCAGCAAGGACAGTCTCTTCAACAAATGGTGCTGGGAAAACTGGATCACACATGCAGAAGCATGAAGCAAGATCCCTATCTGACACCTTTCACCAAAATCCACTCAAAATGAACTAAAGACCCAAATCGATTACCCAACACCATCAAATTATTAGAGAACATTGGGGAAACCCTACAAGACATCAACATAGACAAAGACTTCTTGAAAGAGACCCTAGAGACACAACCAATTAAAGCCAAAATCAACAAATGGGATTACATCAAATTGAAAAGCTTCTGACTGCAAAAAAAAAAATCAATCAGCACAGTAAAGAGACACCCAATAGAATGGGAGAAAATGGGTAGGAAGGCAGGCACTGTGTAAAGAATTGTCAAGACCCTAAAGCTATAATTTTGAAAACCATGAAGGGTGTAACTGCAAAGCAGTTTAGAACTATATACTCTCCTATGGACTCACTTCTAAGAGTACAGCAAAACAAAATGCCATAGGACCACAAAATCCCTTAAGCTGGCTGATTAAAATAGCAGATTAACTGTTATAAAGACCAAATAGATAGGAGTAAGTACTAAAGTGACCATATACATAGGATCAAGTGAACAAGTGATCATATAAATATGACTAAGTCTATGGAAACAATAATAAACAGAATTAAAAAGGAGAGAAGGCTCCAACATGGGAAGCAGTCCATAAAACAGACTCATAGAATGAGAATTGCTTTAAGTAGCACTCCAACCTCAGAATCAGCCCTTATGGCATTCTGGTCTGGCTGAAAATCCCAGAGGGAGCATTTCAGGCATGGAAAGCCAAAACACTCCGGCAAAAAACGTCCTACATAATGAATCCCTCTGGATGAGACCCTAGTAGAAAGAAGTGGCCAAAAAAGGATGTACTTTTCTCTGAAGGGAGGAGAGAACTTCCACTTTACTTATGGGCTTGTCCAGCTAATGGATCCAAAAGGCTTCCAAAGCTGAAGCAGCTCATGTCAAGAGCCTTGGGTGATCACTGATGTCATGTGTAAGAGTGTTACTTGTTAAATAAACAGGAGTCACTGTGCACGAACTTCCAATGCAGGACCTATGTCCCCAAAGAGTTACATCATGAGACTTAACAGTAAAACATGTTCTCAAGGATCACCTCCTTTTAGTGTATTAAATGGAAGATATTATTATGTCTCATAAGTTATAGTTATGTCTAAGAGTTTGCAAAAGATTTATCATCCTTGGATTCTACTCTAAAGACAATTAAATTTCTAAAAGGAAAGAAGGGGAAGGAAGGAGGGGAAAAAAGCGAAATCACCTTCAAGAGACAATAACATAGAATAGCACTGTCTAGGCTATTGAGAAAGAGTTCTCTCAATTTTTTATTCCAAATTTTCTTCATTTCTTTTGCTTTCTTGGACTAAACAGAAGCAGGAGGAAGGGAGAATGGGTGGGAGGATGGGTACAGTGGAAAGAATTACTATGTTCTTAATGTTCTATTAATGAAATCCATACAAATTTTCTTAAAAAGAAAAAATGTTTAATGTTGCTGAAAATATTACAAAACAAGAAAATGTAGAAATCCCATGCAGCAATATTTAATGCTTATGAACCTACATGAGGTACCATTGAGTTTTATCCAGGAATTAGACATTTCTTCTTTCCTCAATATTAAAAGAAAAATTAGTGTTAGTCTTCCTCTTCTCCCTCTTCCCCTGCTTCACCTTCACCTTCACCTTCCTCTGCTTCCTTACATAGCACAAGGCAGCAAAACAAACAAAAAAGTGTAAAAGGAATGAAGATTAATGCTGATGAGAAAATTGCTCTTCCTGTCTTAGTTGACACTGGCCTTGGAGGTTTCTGACCAGGTGGCTTCTCGTCAGATGGATTCCCCTCAGATGGGTTCTCCCCAGATGGGTTCTCATCAGTAGAGTTGTCCTCAGGTGAGTTGGACCCAGGTGGGTTCTCCTCAGGAGGTTTATCCTCAGGGGGTTTCCCTCCAGGTGGCAGTGGTGGTGGTGGACCACTATCTACACTACCCCCAGGGCCCCTGATAGTACAGTTGGGAGGTGCCCATCCTGGGTGACAGTGACAGTGCTGTTTATTATTGCAGACCCCACTCATGTTGCAATGCTGAGTCTGACAGGTTTCTGATGCTTTAACCATATCGACACATTTCCTGCGGAGGCACATCTTGCCTGGAGCACACACCGTGCCATCTTTCACTTCACCAATATCAGGTACGGACATCCCTAGGTGATAATCAGTGCCCCAGCAAGTGGTGCCATTGAGGTGAAACTGATGCACCGTAGAATGTTCTATCAGTGTTGGAATTGTGAGCACATTTTCACACTGAACTCTCCCACACATGACATCAGGAGCCATACACTTTACATATGTGGTGCCTTCAATACCACAGTGGCCAAAACGAGTTCCTTGGGTGTTCATTTCATTGTAGCAGCTTTTAGACGCGCTCAGGGCCCCTGTGCCAAAAATCTGCTTACACTGAGAATCATGGTTATTACATGCATTTTCATAGCAGTAGGAATTTGTACTACAGAGGATTCCGTCCTGTTTATATACGTCATCTGGGCACACATGTGACGTCCCGTTGCACCACTCTGGAAGATCACATTCACTAGCCTTCTGTCTACATACAGTCCCTAGAGGAAGGAAGTTGCAGTCTTTGCAACAACCTCCAAATGCACAAGCTGCCCCAGGCTTTAGAACACAGTTCATCATACAACAACGATCATTTCCACACTCTTGTGTAGATCCACAGTCACACTGCTCTCCATCTTCAACCACTCGGTTCCCACAGAATCTCAACCTTACGATGTGTTGTGGTTGTGCAGGAGAGAGAATACATGTTCCATTTTCCATAGTATTTGCCATATATTGGGAATAACTACAGTTGCTAAATCTCCGTGATGGCTGTCTGGAGGGATACATTATGCAATACCGATCTGGACATGCACACCACCTATCATCATGCCACATACCCAAGTTATGACCAATCTCATGGGCCAAAGTAATGGCAAAAATGCTGAATCTTCTGTCTTCAAAAACATCAACTCCACAATTTATAGGACGTCGGCATACTCCTCCAACATAGGCAACTCCAAGTTTGTCACCATGTAATTCCTTTATGAACAGATGTGCAACATCATGGTGAACACGGTTATCAAAAAAAAAAAATTTCCAAACAGCAAAAGTCTCTGTAACTGGATCTAAGTCACCACTTGTATTTATGGGGTTTTGTACATTCCAGATTTCAATCCCAGTCAAAGTTACATCAACCCCCATGTGGTAATACAATTCATCCACTATATTGATAACATTAAATACTTCAGCCTGCACTATTGACTCATTACTTTGAGAGTAAACAAACCTACCATTGTCCACGACCACTGCCAGCTCAACAAACCGCCAGTGGGCCCACCAATTCAGATGAGAACGTGGTTTCAAAGTGAAATTATATGATGCTTGAAATGCCAATTGGCGTGCTATTGACTCTTCTGTTAACCCACATCTCATGTGTGGGGACTCTGTCTCATCACTGCCTACCTGATACACCAGGTGCTCAAATGTGGTAGAGTGCCTGATGGGTTCAATTTCATACATGAGGTCATTTATCTGTAGCATTCCTCGAAATCCCCCAGAACAGGTGCTGAGGGCAACCAGAGACTCGGGGGCCCCCTCCACATAACCATGATAGTAACAATCATCAAGGACAAAGGGATGATCCTCCTGGAGGCCATGCTGCTCTGTGTAGGTGAACACAGGGAGGTGTGTGGAAACCAACAGCCTCTTGACCCTCATGTGGACAATGTGCCTCTGGCCCCCAATCCGCATGCGGTAGGAGAGCCATCCTGGAGCCTTTGCACCTCTACCCCTGCTGGTCACCTTCGAGGGGATCACCACTTCCAGGGAGCTGAAATGCTGGGAGGGCCTGGCTTGGGAGAGGCCATGTATGGACAGAGATACCCCAAGGCAGAGCAGCAGAAGAGTGATCCTGGTATGCATCAGGGCCCCACACACTGCCATGCTGGTGCAGTTGTCATGGAGCCATCAGTCCAGAAAAAGCAATGCAGAGTATGAGGAACTGCTGGTCTGGCTCCTCCCTCTGAGCTGCTCTGGGTCCCAGGCTGACCTTTACGGATCTGTGTCCTGGCAGAGGTGGACCATCAGTGCTGCAGGGCTGAAGTGAAGAGAAGAAGAGGAGCTGGGAAAGGGTTGGGGAGGTAGGAAGGGTGGGAAAGAGAAAGAAGGCAGTGAGACTAACATGATTCTTGAAATGGATTTGGTCTAAGCTATGTTTTAAACACACACACACACATATAGAAAGGTAGTTTTCAGTGGAAAGAAGATTGGAAAAAGGTAGATACTGCTAAATGTGGTTCGTAGATAAAGATTCATCATATATAGTGTCTTGAACTTGTATATTAAATAAAGATGTCTTATGTTAAGCTACCCAAATTTATCTTCCACCTTAAAATTTGCTGGCATCCTCTGCCTTCAGCATAAATGAGAGTAACTCAGTTTTTGTTCTTTTCTTCTTGCTGTTAGCTCAATCTTTCAATTACACAGACATTTTATATAGATTGTGTTCTGTTCTATTTAGCAGGCACTAAATCCCACCTAAAGGGCTTGTGCAGGGAGACCAACTAAATAATTGTTTTTTAGGATAATGACTTCTTTTCTGCACAGAAGTCCACCACAGTTAGAGGAAGGCAGGACACTTGTCTCATAACTGGGAGTGGGACGTGGGTTTGGGGAGTGGGCACAAAGCCCACATGCCTCCAGCCACATCGTGGAGGCAGCAGCCTTTTCTCCACATGCATCCTGCACTGAATCCTAACACGCCCATTTAATTAATCAGTGCAGATGATTTTCTGGTTTTCACAAGGCTTATGGTTACCCAAATCTATCTACTTCAATTGCAATATTCCTAATGAACATGCAATGAGGAGCTTAACCATTGAGTAAGTAAATAAAATATTCAGAGGACTACAGGTTGTGTGGATTTCAAAACTTCATTATCGTTAAAATATATGTTTTTGCTAACATAAAAGTTAATTTGTCAATTCACTGACATTTCTTAAAAAGTATCAGTGATCATTTAATATTTCAAATCAAAAGGTAAAACAAATTTGTAGATAACACTAGTGGCCTCAAGATTGTGAATATACTATGTTCCTAAATATGTATATAAGAAATTCATTATGTTTGTATACCTTAAATAAAAAGTTTCTGGGACAAAAACAAATAAATAAATAAATAAATAAATAATACAAAGTTTATGAATAGATACACATGGCATTAGCTGTACAGAGCATGCACAGTGTTTAGCATTATGATGTCAAGAAAGCAGGAACAAGTCTGGATAGAATTCCAAAACAAATATGTGGCTACCAGATGCCACAAGCAGAAACCAGGAGCATTGGATGAAACCTCTGTCAAAGTATCTCTAATATAGGTGAAACCCAAACACCAGTATTCCTTGCCATGTCTCTTTTCATCATATCTTTCATATTATTTGTCACATCATTTAGGGTGTAAAGAATTGGAAGATTATTGTGGTCCATGTGAAGGAGTCAAAATAGGAAAGTATACTGAAAAACACCTCTGTGTCAGGTCAGTCTTTGTCACTAAAGCATTACTCCAAGGGCAATGCTTAACAAATATCACATTCCCAGTAATTTTGTGAACTGTGTCATGGGATTGTCCTTCTTCTGACATGAAAGGAACTTAAACCACTGTCAGTTCATCCTCTGCCACAGTCAGGAACTCTCGGCTATTTCAAGTTCCTCAAAATGCTGTCTGACCATGTTTCCACTCACTCAGTGTCAACCTATTCCAGCATTTTTCAAACTCAGGTCACAGAGTACATTTGGGTCACAAAAACCATTTAGTGCACCACAAGTATGTGAAACACCAGAATATAAACTGCTGCAGCACTTCACACACAGGAGTGACTCTTGCCATTATGGACACCAAGGATCTTAGAGTAGCATATGGCTCAGTTCATATGCTGATTAGCAGTTTTGAACTCCTGACTGAACACTCAAACTTGATGGGGGAGCATTGAACAGAGCAGGTTAACCCACTGCCTTCAGTGATGGCATCTGGTATGGGCACCAGTCGAGTCCCTGCTGTTCCATTTACAATCCAGCTCCCTCTAATGCACCTGGGAAATCAGCAGAAAATGGCCCCAGCCACCCACATGGGAAACATGATGGAGTTCTAGGCTTTTGGCTTTGGCATGGCCAAGCCCTGGCTTTTATGGTAATTGGGGAATAAATCAGCTGCTGGAATATATATCTTTCTCTCTCGTTCACTCTGCTTCTCTCTCAGTATCCCTGCTTTTCAAATAAACCTTTAAAAAGTTATCCAAAACTAAATAAAAATTAAGTTTATTCTTCGCACCTGACAGGGATGCCCACTCTCACCACTGCTATTTAACATAGTTCTGGAAGTTTTAGCCAGAGCCATCAGAGAAGAAAAAGAAATTAAAGGAATACAAATTGAGAAGGAAGAAGTCAAACTATCCCTCTTTGCAGACAATATGATTCTTTACTTAGGAGATCCAAAGAACTCTATTAAGAGACTATTGGAACTCATAGAGGAGTTTGGCAAAGTGGCAGGATATAAAATCAATGCACAAAAATCAACAGCCTTTGTATACACAAGCAATGCCATGGCTGAGAAAGAACTGCTAAGATCAATCCCATTCACAATAGCTACAAAAACAATCAAATACCTTGGAATAAACTTAACCAAGGACGTTCAAGATCTCTACGATGAGAATTACAAAATCTTAAAGAAAGAAATAGAAGAGGATACCAAGAAATGGAAAAATCTTCCATGCTCATGGATTGGAAGAATCAACATTATCAAAATGTCCATTCTCCCAAAAGCAATTTACAGATTCAATGCAATCCCAATCAAGATACCAAAGACCTTCTTCTCAGATCTAGAAAAAATGATGCTGAAATTCATATGGAGGCACAAGAGACCTCGAATAGCTAAAGCAATCTTGTACAACAAAAACAAAGCCGGAGGCATCTCAATACCAGACTTCAGGACATACTACAGGGCAGTTGTAATCAAAACAGCATGGTACTGATACAGAAACAGGTGGATAGACCAATGGAACAGAATTGAAACACCAGAAATCAACCCAAACATCTACAGCCAACTTATATTTGATCAAGGATCTAAAACTAATTCCTGGAGCAAGGACAGTCTATTCAATAAATGGTGCTGGGAAAACTGGATTTCCACGTGCAGAAGCATGAAGCAAGACCCCTACCTTTCACCTTACACAAATATCCACTCAACATGGATTAAAGACCCAAATCTACGACCTGACACCATCAAGTTATTAGAGAACATTGGAGAAACCCTTCAAGATATTGGCACAGGCAAAGAATTTCTGGAAAAGACCCGGGAGGCACAGGCAGTCAAAGCCAAAATCAACTATTGGGATTGCATCAAATTGAGAAGTTTCTGTACTGCAAAAGAAACAGTCAGGAGAGTGAAGAGACAACCAACAGAATGGGAAAAAATGTTCACAAACTATGCAACAGATAAAGGGTTAATAACCAGAATCTACAAAGAGATCAAGAAACTCCACAAAAACAAAACAAACAACCCACTTAAGAGAGGGGCCAAGGACCTCAATAGACATTTTTCAAAACAGGAAATCCAAATGGCCAACAGGCACATGAAAAACTGTTCAAGGTCACTAGCAATCAGGGAAATGCAAATCAAAACCACAATGAGGTTTCACCTCACCCCGGTTAGAATGGCTCACATTCAGCAATCTACCAACAACAGATGCTGGCGAGGATGTGGGGAAAAAGGGACACTAACCCACTGTTGGTGGGAATGCACACTGGTCAAGCCACTATGGAAGTCAGCCTGGAGATTCCTCAGAAACCTGAAGATAACCCTACCGTTCGACCCAGCCATCCCACTCCTTGGAATTTACCCAAAGGAATTTAAATTGGCAAACAGAAAA